AGAAACGTAGGTTGGCTTGAACTCCTGATAACTTCTCACAATGTAATGCCCTTTGATTAAGCTTGCAGCCATTTAGCTGTGTACTTAGCATTGGGTGCATGGCATAATCATTTAGATGAGGAGGCAACTGTCATTTATATGAATATATTGGGCTGAGCTTTACCAAACTTTGGCGAAGTGTCAATTCTGGGGAGTCTCATGGAGGGTTTCCCTTTGTTTATTTCAGTGAGTGTCATCTGTCTAAGGCCAACAGTCGGGCTGGCTCCTTCCACCCCATTGACACTTCATTGTAAATATTTTCTTAAATTTGTCAATATATGTACACTTACCAGCATCAGCTGTGTGACTGACTGCCATTTTAGCTGCAGCTACAAGAACGAATGGAGAAAAGCTAGCCATCTTTAGCACCACATAATGTCTGAGTGATAGCTATTCTTTCCATAATGCCCATACTAGCATGGAACTGTGGCAGGATTGAATGACGGCAGCATCAGATGTTTCGAAGGCTTCCATCCATCTGTAACTGTTATTAAACCGCATGAACCGAAAAAAAAATCAAAGCATTAATCTGCACTTGCAGTTGTCAATACATAGGGAATGCTAGCCTCAGCAGCATCAAACCATTTGCAGTCAGTGAAAGATGACTAAGGCACAGAATTAATCTTCACTTGCAGAGGCAAGGATTACTCAAGGATGGTCAACAAGCCTCTGTCATAGAGACATCATCTCTGACAGGTTTGATTCAATTTTCAAGGAGGTGATTCAATGTGGGGGTGAGGGTAGGGCAGTGAATATAGTCCACATGGTCTTAAATAAAGCTTTTGACAAGGTGAGACTCGCACGTGAGAGGTCAAGATAGTAATAGCCCACGGGGTTCAGAGCAATTTAGCAAATTGGATCCAAAATTAGCTTAGTAGCACAAGGCAGAGGGTAATAGTTGAAGGTCGTTTTTGTGACTGGAAAACTGTGTCTAGTGATTTGGTGCCAGGTCACTTGTGGTTTATTGCGTACATTAATGATGTTAAACACTAATTTAGTAGGTTTAGTAACTTTGCAAATGGCACAAAAATTGGTGGTGTAGTCAATAGAGAGGAGGAAAGTCTCTTGAAAGTTGTTAGGCGATGCATTTTGGGAGGACTAACAAAGCAAGGGAGTACACAATGAATGGTCAGACCCTGGGAAGTACAGAGGATCAGAGGGACCTTGGTGTCCATTGATCCTTGAAGATAACAGGACAGGTAGATAGGGTGGTTCAGAAGGCATGTGGGATATTTGCCTTTATAACCTCCTGCAAGGAGGTTATGACGGAGCTGTATATAGTATTAGTTAGGATGCAGTGGGAGTGTTGTGTGCAGTTCTGGTCACTACACTATAGGTAGGATGTGATTGCACTAGAGAGGGTGCAGAGTAGATTCACCAGGATGTTGCCTAGACTGGAATGATTCTGCCATGAAGAGAAACTCGATAGGCTGGGATTGTTTTCCTTAGAGCAGTGAAGGCCTAGCGGGGACCTGATTGAAGACTATAATGTCCTGAGGGGCATTGATCAGGTAGATAGAAAGAAACTTCTCCCCTTAGCAGACGGATCAATAATTAAGGAGGATAGACTTAAGGTAACAGGAATGAGACTTAGGTAGATTTATGGAAGATTTTTCTCATCTAGAGTGTAGTGGATATCTGAAACTTACTGTCTGAAAAGGTGGTAGAAGCAGGAACCATCACAACATTTAAGAAGCATTCAGATGATCAGTTGGAGAAGCAGAACATGCAAGGGTACAGGACAAGTGCTGGGAAATAGGACAAGAGTAGGTAGATGCTTGATGACTATCATGGACTTGATGGGTCGAAGGTCCTCTTTCCATATTGTATAGTTCTGACTTCTATGACTTCATGCAACTCAGTTTCATTGACAGACATTGGTTAAAAATAGTCCTCTCAATGTTGCTTTGGCTGATGCCGCTGCAGCGTAGGATGCCAAGCTACTGTTCCATCTGAAGAATATCATCACCTTCTTAGTCAGTACAATGCTGAGCAACTCTCAGATTCCCACATCCAGCCCAAACCCTCGGTTCATTCTCCAGTTGTTTGTGGCAGAGATTGTCGAGATGGTATTGGTATAAAGCCGCAGACATGACCTGTATGGAAAGTTGATGTCAAGTCATCCTGTTGCCCTCAATGATCCCAGTAAAAGAAAGTATTGTATCATAAATAAGCTGGACAGCAATTACATGGTGTTCTAACTCCCACCTCTCGACAGAATATAGCGCCACTGTCCCTTTCTCACCTACATGGCATTCCATGGAAGATAAGTGACTGTGGGTCACGAGGGTCTCTGTTGCTGAAGGTTCCTCAGTAGTTCTAAGCTTCACATCCTCTGGAGGTTGATGCTGGTCCTGGCTTGCAGATGTGAGTGTTCCTCATGTGAAGGGAACAGCTCCTACACCTTCTGCAGACTACGTCACCTTGGAAGATGTTTGCTACTTTGGTGACTAGTGCGAGTCTTTCCAAGCTACAAGATATTGTCTGTGCCTGAGAGCAATTGGTGGGATTCAACTATAATCATCAATGATGTGGTCAAGAGTGCTTGGACCAGGATGTTATGTCAACAAAGTGGGACAATGCGTAAAGTCCACACAGAACATTTTGTGGTAACAGATGGTCAGCAGTTGTACTGTGTAGGTGTCTGTTTAATGGTATTGCCCCTTTGAAGGGACTCACATCACAAATGGACACCGTTGCTCAGAGAATGAAACACTTACTCCGCCTCCTCCAGATGTGGTGGCAGCCATTTTCTTTTCCATTGTGCACAAACGATTTGGATGAGGACAAAAGGCAACAGAGGTCACACTTCATAGAGAGGGTCACGGCTCAGTCCTTCCATCGAGGTGATGCCCCAATTCTTCACATTCCCTTCTTCCTTTCCCTTCCTGTCAAACCCATTAATTTCGCCAACATTGCCACCCAACCCATTTACTTAACTGCTTACCTCCCCATGTTACCCCATGAGACCCTGGCATACAGCACAGTTATATCAAACATAGTAGTGCGCTATTCCCCCTCCCTCATCAAAGCCAAGTTGGTGGTGACTATCAATAATCCCCGTCCTGCAGTACCCCTTGCCCTCCCATACTCTATCATCTTCCCTCCTTGTGTTAGCTTGTCTCTATTTCACATTCATTAACCCCTCTGTATCCCTGCATGCTGTCTCCAATTCCCACAACTATATTCCTCAGCTTCCGAACCAAAGTAATAGCCGCTGATCACCATTCCCTCTAATTTTTCTTTTCTCTCACTAGCTCCATGGTCCTTATGCAGCAGTGACTTCAAAAACTATCGTCAATTCTGTGATCTGCATTACATGCTTGGAAGGAATGTTGCCCCTCATAACTCTTGGCATTGTGGACAGGTCTCCAGGATTAACTGTGGCCCATTTCCATGACTGACATTGAGAAACAGCTCTGAATGATGAGTGAACAGATGACTGATTGCTCTGCATACAGTTCTCTGACTGACTTACCATGGTCCTCAGGCTGGTTGAACTGGACTTGCAGGAGTGATTGTGGATCAATCCCTGGGCTGTAAATGTACAAAGCCCCTGACCCTGGACACTCCATGCAGCTAATCAACCATATCCAAGCCCTTGACTGACATCAGATACTGCCCTTGACTTACTGTACCATTCCCCTGACGGAAGGCTTGTTCCCCTTCACATGAGTAAGGGCTACTCCCCTCGGGCTTTCAGACATGGTGACTTGATTGAAGCACATGCTGTGTGTTTACCACGTAAGCTGTTGGCACATGGTATCATCAACATTGACATAACACAGTGCTGTACAGCAATAAATCCAACCCCTTGACTGATCACTGCTGACAACCATAGCAAGCTGCCTGGCTTTGTGTCTGCACCAACAGTCCAGACATAAGTAATGTGAACCTTCAAGCTCTGGCTGAAGGGGCAATGTATAAAAAGGCAAGGCCAGGTAGCGCAGTGAGGATTCAAGTAGGTGCAAAATGCGAGAATGCTAAGAAAGTAAGTGAGGGACCCTCATGGTCTAATCCATGAGTTGGGTTTGTGTCCTTGTGTGCAAAGTGTCCTCATCGCATCATTCCAACAGAAGGTGCCATGCGTGCTCCAAAGTACAGCACTGAAGTGGAGAACTGTATAGTAAGTGAGTTGGAGATGTGTCATGAAGGTGCAGTGAAGCTGGTACATGTCCAATGTCAGCCTCAGTAGATATGGATTGGGGGCAATCATGGAGCACTCTGTGTAATGTTGGTGACTGCTGCCCAAGTTAGATGCCCGGAGGGGAAGGTAACGAGCTGAATCCACCAGGTACTCAGTCTGACTTTCAGCCTGGGAATTGTCACCACCAAGCTTTTCTCTGGCACATAGGAGGGTAGAAAAATGCATTTCAATGAGATTAGATTAGTTACTAATGGCTAAAACATGCAAAAGGGCCTCTCACTAACTAGATTCTCATCTTGCTGTTCAAAATTCCATCACAGAATCAGAATTTGTTTTCTTGACGTTGAGAATTTCATTTCTGCCATTGTCGCCCCATTTGCCCAACTGCTTGCCATTGCCCAGGTTATTCAAGAGCTGGGAAGATTGCACCTATATTGTTTCTATTATGGGGGATTTAGCCTTTTGTGGGTAAGTGAACAGTGCATTTATGCTATCTTTTTATTTTAGTCTGATTAAAAAAAATTGAATGAATCCCAATTTTTGTCCACAGACTATATATTTTATTAACTGAAGAATTCTGTATCAAACCCAAAGCTATATCTGTCACTACATTACACCCCACTCAATAATTCAATCACATTACAGGACACCCAAATGAAAAGGTTTGACTATTGCTTCTGGACTGTAGGTGTTCCTTCAGCAGTGCAGCTTTAAGGAGAGTCTGCACAGGCGTAACAGGCATTTGCAGAGCTGGCTTCAGCAGCCTGCAAGATTTTGCTTGCTCAGTATTTCATTCATAAGAAGACAAGACACACATTGCACATCTTGCAACTGGGCACAACCTGAAGAAACTTCTTTCAATTCGTTTTATCTTCCTGCTGGTTGTGTCCCTACTGAATGGTAATTGAAACTCATATATTGTGAGTTGCTTGCCTGGCTTTATTCTTCTGAAAAAGAGGGAATGCTGATTTGATGACAGAAAAGTGCAGCAGTCACACCGGTAAGTAATAATTCGTTTTACTTTACACTGTTCCTATTTTCTTTACTAGGTAATTGTAGCATTAGCTGTATGACTAAGTGTCACTCGAATTTCAGTTGATCAAATGAACATGTCTAATGGTACAACTGTACCTACCCAGTTAGTATTTAATCAGTAAGAATCTGAAACTGAATGTAGAGGCATTTTGATGATTGTATCTCCAGCTTTTTCTTGTGGTGTTCTGAAATTTTTGGCACCATTTTAAAAAGGCAAGAGCCAGCTTGCAGGAAATGTTTGAACTTCAGTCTTTGTCAGTAGGTAAGGTGGTTATGACTCACAGTAGTGTCTGGTATATTTTAGAAATTTGATCCACATTTGTTATTTTAATTTGTATTTAGCATCACACATAATCTCAGGCATACCATGTACAGACTGAAGAGCATGCAGCATGAGAAACACGTCCTTTTGAATTCTCTTGTCTGGAACTGCCAAAATAAACCCTAGAATAAGTTTAAAATATCATGCAAGAGCATTCTGTGTGGGATATCGAGGGAGGACAATATGGAGAGGCAATAGTTTATCGCAATAAATAAGAGAACATAAAGCTTTCAATTTATATATTGTCGTGATTTTCATGGAGTTCTTATTGACAGCAATCTATGCACATCATGGGTTAGGTCCCAGCAACACAAAGGCTGCCCTGGAGTCCCCCTGAGCATGGCGGGTATTACTAGAACATTGACAGTGTGGATATTTCCAGTAGAACAGATGCCCAGCAGAGAAGAACAAGCTCTCTGACACAGGACTGCTGTGCCTGAAAATAGCATAGAGCATTGTTGTTTGTTGACCAACCCCACTCTTAAATAATATTAGATTCCAGATTTGAGAAAAAGCAATGTTAAAACCTATGATCCTGCAACTTTCAGCCAAGAATGTTGCCAAAACCTTTGGAAAACATTTCTTCCTTCTCTATCTCAGACAATACCAGCTCCAGTCTGAATGAAAGAAGGCCAAATGAAACATTCAACATTGTTATTTGGCCTTTTGAAGTGGCAGTTGCTATATGTGAGAAAGTTGCACAGGTCCTAATGGAAATACGTCGATTCTTTGAACTGAATTATTACTGAGCTCTGTCACTCTGGGCAGTTATTTAATTGTTAAATGAGATGGCAAAGACATCCTACAAAGCTTTTCTTAATCTTCCTTTTGGGAAAGAGCTAGCTTTGAGAAATAGCCATATCAGCCACGCAATATGTTGACAAATTAGGAAGTATTATCTCAGTTTCCCCTTTTTACCTTTCAGTCTTGATACTAAGATGATATCAATGCTAAAAAGTGAAACTTATTACTCAAATAATGCCAATAAAATTTTAGGTGTTGTTTGAATTAAATATCAATGGGATGAGCATTTCAGGGCCCAGAAAATTATGCAACAATCAGCAATACCGGAAGTAAATGGTGAAATTTTCTTAGCTTTGATTATTTCCTTCCAGGGACTGAAACTGACAGAAATCAAATCTGTGCACACATTTTCCAGGAATATACTTTTCCTCAGCTACTTATCTTAGGTGTGTTATTGCCATCAATCATAGCAGAAAGATGCTGCTAATTTAAAGTTGGAAGTGTATATGCTTTATTGATATCCGAGAGAAAATCAAATGTTTCAGCTTGTAGAAGTGCAACTGCTCATGGTGTCCTCAGAACCAATTGAAACGTAGCAAGCCAGAATCTAAATCAAATTCATTTCAAAGAATGTCGTACCTCAGGGAGACATTAGAACCCTGAAAAAGATCAGCTGGCTTCATTATCACAATATATCCTTTCTTGTTGGGAATTTGTCACTGGTAAGAAATAAGGAAAACTTTTACCATCTAAAACCTGCACTTCTTATACTTCATCATTTTGAATCTGGGATGTCTTTCAGAGAATGCAGTAGCTACAAAATGTAGAAATAGCACCAAATTATTTTCAAATTGATTCCAAAATGTAGAGATAGCAGCAAGTTATTTTCAAATTGATCATGATGAATTATGTTTGCCTGAAAAAAAGTCATTGCCTCAGGTTACGGATAGCACAGACCTTGCTTGTAACCATTCACTCAGGATCTGTAGCATCGACTTTCAATCTCATGACCAACCATTTGAGTGGCCGAAATGTTTGTGAGTGCTGCTATAATTTCCATTTCTTTCTTTGGCTGAATTTTCCTCTTCCATTTCTTCTCTTTTCTACTTTCCTACGTTCACAGCATCCTTCTTCAGCTGGGAGCTGCAGTAGATGTTTTGGACCATGGACATCTCCATTAGTTAAAGGTACGTCTGAATGTACATGGGAATATTAATATCGTTGGCATCTCAGAGCATGACTGACAACAGAGGATAACGAAGATCCACAGCTGGAAGGGTAGAAATTATTTAATACTAATGACTGTGCAAACAACAGCCAGTAACCATATCAATAAGGAGTGATGGTGCAACTATATAAAACATGGCTATAGGAGTAGATAGAGATTAAGTTTTAGAAACATGGATGAAACTGAATGTCAAATGGCAACTAATTGCCTGGTTATTGTACAAATATTTATAACACTGCAACAGGCCATTCAGCTTATCTGCTCAATACCAGTGTTTATGCTTTGTAGAAGCATTATCTCATTTGCCTTCTTCTCACTCTATTAGTAGTCTATTCCTGTCTCCCTCAGTGTGACTATCCAGTTTCCCTGTAATAGAATACCAGTACACAGTCAGCAATTGGACAGTGAGGCAGTTAACAGATAAGGAGGTTTGTGAAGCATTGTAATGTGGAGGGCATTTCAATATCCTGACAGTTGAATGTGCAGGTCTGGGACAATCAGGAGAGAAGGTTGAGACTACCAACATATTCAGTGAGCCATTGAGGAACTGGTCTCCCCAACACACAATGTGAACTAGGCTATTGGAGCAAAGTAAGTGCTGAATCTGGTCTTTAGTAATTCACCAGAGCTGCTTAGTAGTCTGGAGACTAGTGAACGCCTAAAATCCAATGATTATTGCACTTTTAAATCTGACATTGTTCTTCAAGTTAAGACAAAAACCCTAACTTGGTGTGGACATTGGAATAACTGATTTTGGAACTGAGTTAGAAAAAATAAATTGGGAAAGCACTCTTACAAATATAAGAAAATGGGATGTATTTAATCTATTAAACTAGATGAAACAACAGAGTGTTAAATTCCATTTTATGGAAAACAAAAATGACAGAAAGTCTAGACCTCAATGGAGCTTAGAAAAACAGGTGAAAGCAAACACTTACAAGCTGGTCTATGCCATGCAGCTAGTTGATGGTTAAAATCTAACCCAATGTAATGTACTGGAAGCACTTGACAGAGGAGTAACATTAAGGAGAATGGAACTAAATCTATTGACGCAGTGGCTAACTATCCCTGGCTGATGCTACAAAGAAGAGTGATGGTGTTGCATCCAATCAACAATTAACATTACATTATGATGGAGGAAACGATTTTACGATGCCAGCATTAAAATGTGAGGAGTGCGGCAGAAAACTTATCATGTGAAGTTGACATTGAATCTGTACTTGCAGCCAAGCTTTTTGTGAATTGGAAGCCAGCCTCTGTATTTTACTATGAATCCACACTCCTCATAGAATAACAGTTACACACGTATAACACAGTTCAATACTCAAGATGGAGCAACTTTCAACAGAATACTGGAGAACTCAGTGGGATTTTAATTTTAAAAAGGGACTTGCATTTACATAGCACCGGTAGCAGATCATAAAACTCTGCACTGGACTCAGGCCCTATGAGTGCACAACTCTCACTGATTCCATCCTCTGGGATGAGCCCATGAATGGGATCTTCATTTTAAACCTTAGTTTGTTTCAGGAGTGGTGCCTAGATCTCCCGGAGAAATATGTCCCTTTATTTGACAATTTGGGTCTTTGGAGAGCCAGATTTTGGTTAATATGCCGGTACTTTCGAAATGAAGTCATTGTTGTGATGTAGGCAGCTAATTCTGCACACAGCAAACATCCACAATCAGCAATATGGCAATAACCAGCTCTCCAGAGTTAAACTCCTGGGGCTGGCTGATTATGGAATTCCACAGGACTTTCTGGGACATCCTGGAGACCGTATGGATCCTAGAGGAGTGTTCAGCAACCAAGGAGATGTCCTTCTCAAAGCGGAAGGCCATTGCAGATAAAGAGGGGTGATCACTGCCTTCTTGAAAATCATCCCCTGGTCTCCTTCCTCAACGCGGACGGCAAGACTTTTGCCAGGGCCAGGTCTTCCTGCCTTAGCATCATGCTGGACCATGTGATCCTCCTTGGCCAGTCCTGGGGCTGAAACATTCATGATGATCTCCATCCGGTATGGGACCTGATCAATCTTTCTCAGAGGACTGAGCTGTTAGCTTCCTTCCTGCCCCTTGATCAGGAGAAAGCAGTCAACAGGGTGGATTTGTGGACATTTATTTGAGATTCTGTAAGCTTTCAGATTCTGGACAGTTAAAGACCTGGGTCTGACTTCTGCATGGCAAGTGCAGAGTGTATAATTCAGGTTAACAGGTCCTTGATGGTGCCTCTTTGGGACAGGAGAGGGTTAAGGATGCCCCTTGACAAAAAGCAGCGCTGGGCCACTCAGTCTCTCAGCCTCACAGAGAGGGCTCATGCACTGATGTGCCTGCGCACCTGAAGCAGCCACTTTCCATTGTCAGACCCCACTGCGGTACCATTGTATTAAGCCCCTGCCTTGATGGAGCTTCCTAGATAAATGATTCATTTGTCAGGTATACAGTCTCAAGAACAGCAATGCAGCTTCTGCCTTTGTGGTAAGTCGTTGTTGCCTGCCTTTTATCGGGGCCAGTCAAAGTTTAGGATGTTAGGAGCTGCTGTTAGGAGCAGTGAGTGCCATGAGGTCACTGCTGATCAGCACCTCCACTGGGAGCGCTTCTGGTTGCAATAGGACGAGAAGTCTCAGGCAGCTGGGATGACCAGATTTGAATGTGCTGGATGATACCACAGGGACCTGGCAGGTGAGTATCAGTTGGTGTCCAGCACAAAGCCATTCAGAGCCCTATATCTGTGACTTTCAGGCACCAGGGCACTGGTAGTATTGAGCCAGCTCGAGTGAAAAGTGAACCCCTGCCTGACTGAACCCACATCCAGACAGAATTTTACATTGGCCCGAGCCCTAAACCCTCCCTCAAGGACCCAGGCCCTGCAAATTGAGTCACCTTCAGGAAATTCCCTCCATCTCTTTCCAGTCAGCACAGAAGGGTTGGCTGTTTGAGCTTCTCCTGCATGCCCTTCATCCCTTCATCTTCCTCCACCATCCGGAGACACCCTGGTTTTCTATCTTGCTGTCTGGCAGAAACAGTGGAGGGCTCTGTGGGTGAGAGGTCCTTCCACTTTCTGTTGAGTATCTGGGATGGATGGCGTTTCATGTAGCAGTCCCATGAAATCATAGACCAATAGGTTCAGGGTCTCCCAGGCTGCCTGTAATATTTGCAGCCTCTAGGATCTGACAGCCATGATTATGTGGACTGTTAAAGACTTCAGACCCCTTGCTTTGTTTTTTAAAGGGGCTTCTACTACATTTTTGCTTGTGTGCTCCTGATCTTTGGATCCCTGGTGCAGAGGGGGAGCAGTTACATTGTAGGACCTTCTTGTGGGTTTGCTCTTGGGCTTTGACCAATCTGTTCTGTTTGTTCAGTCGCCTCCCTCAACAACAATTATTGGCTCAGCACAAAGAGCACAAGAGTTAGTCTGTATCAACTAATCATTACCTTTATTAGTTTAGTTAAAGCAGACATGGAACTCACGCCATTTGGTCAGAAAAATGGTTAATAAGAAGCAGGCAATTCATCACTACCCACTAAGCCTGATGTTTCCAAAACAGTCAGCAAAATAAAAGTTAATAGCCAAGAATAGAAGCTCACACTGGCTGGACATCTCTTCCAGATCTTGGGGGTCTTCTCCACACCCAAGTGTGAGGTTGAAAGTTACGAAGGTTTGTCTCCAGAGTTTTCACTGATGCGCACTGAAATCCTTCATTTTTATCCTTTTCCCTTATCTTCCTGAACTGTGGTGTCTAGTTCCTGTTGGTTCATCAGCTCATCTGAGCACAGTGTTATTCCACTACAGGCTCACTCCAAGGACACCTTTAGGATTATCTCATTACCGTTCCACCAAATAAGGATTTCCCTCCTTACGTCATCCCTCAGAACTGAACCAGCTCAAGCCAGCCCAAACCAGTAGCTAGGGCTCAGGTAACGTAAGCTCACAGCTACTGTTTTCACATGTGAGCATCTTCTGGCCAATAGTCCAACAACAGATCCAGACAGCAGGCAGTGGAGGGGAACATAACTCCCAACTGCCTGCCTTTACTCCGTGCTTACGTCTGTGCCCAGCGTCCTTGGAGAGGGACCACACAGTGTCTGCTGGTACACTTCAGGCCTTGCATGACTGATAGTCGCCATGGGTGCTGGGTTGCATCGTTATCACCCCCTACAAAATGATATCCTGGAAAAAATCATGTAGGTTTTCTTTTAAAATTTTGACTTTGGTTATGGTGCCCCTTGAGGGACTTTTAACTTCAAAGTTGGTTTAATTTGGTTCACCGGTTGTACTTAAAATAGTAGCAAGGAGGATCGGTGGCAACACTGTATCCAACATCACCAGTAAGCCAGTGGTTGCTAACCCCGAGCTCCACATGACACCAAGCTCCTGCCTTGAAATTCTGAATCAAACTCAAACACTCTACTCTGGCTGTTGGGCTTTCCAACATTGCTGTGATTCTAATTAAAATCAAATCAAATCACTATATAGTCCACAGTTGGTTGCACTAAATACCAGGCAGCCATTCTAAGCCACAAATTTGGTTGGTTCAGAAGAGTGAAAGCAGCATTTTTGGGACACTGATATAAATTATTTTGTTCCAAGTACAGTTTCAGATTGCAGAGTGTTTAGCAGCAAAATTGTATGCACCTATCCATTCGAGCTTTCCGTTACAATTCAAGGACAATTAACCTTTCGGTTAGGAAGAAAAGAATATCTACTTTTAATACCTCCAAAGCACAACTGGATGTATTCTTTTGGTGTGCTGCAGTTCACTCAGGAAGTCCAAGTTGCCATGGCAACGTGCACATTTGCATGTATTTTGTAATTTTGATATATGAATATTGAAGGAACGTTGAATATTGAAGAGATTCCAACCTTCTTTCCAATGACTCGGCTGACCAGGAATCTCTCCCAGTCTTACCACCCTAATTGGCAGCATGGGGAGGTAATGGGGTGGCAGACATTATACAGA